CCTTGAGTTTGGCCATTAGGACATCATCAGTGACATTCCAGGGAGGCTTTTGGAAGATAATAGAAAGAGAATCCAGGTTGCATTGGAAAAATCCAGAGTAACCATATCTCTGTAAATTGTTAGACCTGATAATACAGTGGCCCATCAGGCAAGAGAGATGCAGTGAGTGGCCAGGTAGGAGTGGAAACAGGAAGGCACAGGTCTTCAGAAAATGGAAGATGGAAGTCAGTGTTTCCTGATCTTTTGATTTTTTCCAAAGAGGCTGTGTGTGTGTGTGTGTGTTTTATCTCCTGATAGGTCATTTTTTTTTTAAAGTAAAGCTTCAGTTGGGGGCTCACTATAACACCTCTGTGGACTGAATTCAGCCTACCAGCTGTACACATCTGAGGTGCTCTTCCCAGATGTTAGAAGTGACTTGAGGAAGCATGTCAAACAACAAGGTCAAGGCCTGTTTAGAATAGTGTGTGTGGCACATGTGGCTGTGTGCGGGTCAAGGGATGGGTAAGTGTGAACGCATTGGGAGATTCTACAGATAAAGAGAGAGGAGCAAAATGGCAAAATAAGGTGGTATCTGGAGAGGAAGGTACCAGAGGGAGTCGGAGGAAGAAGAAGAGGCCAGATATTAGAAAGAAGACACCTATGGAAGGACCTGAATGTGAAGGGGAGGAGCCATGCCACCTGCCCTGCTCTTTATCCCTGTGCTTAGAGGGTATGTTGCCTATTGGTGAGGGGGCCAGAGAATGCCTGGGAGCTGGAAAGGAACCAGGCTGCTTTGGGGAATAGGTAGTGGCAAGAGTGTAGGGCAATTCAAACTATCAGGTCGCAGTGAGGATCCTGCTGCCTTTTGTTTCATGAGAATTTATTTATGGGACACTCTAAGCATGGAAGATACAGACTAGAATGAAACTCAGATGCAGCCTCCATGCACACACACCTCATCTGTAGTCTGTAGCTCTGCACTGGACTGATGGGCTAGTTGTCCACGTCATTCATTCACTGGCTGCCGCCATCACCTGGCTGTGCCTGTGAATTACTTGTGCTCTTATTGGCTCAAAGTTTTCTTTAAGTCACCTCTTACTTGTTTTTATCTTTTTAAGTTTTCTGTTTTATTAGTTCTTTTCAGTTGTACATAATATTAGGGTTCATTTTGACATAATTTGTTTTATTCAGTCCCCAGTACCTCCTCTTCCCCTCCCCTCCTTCTTCCCCATCTCCATCTCTCTACTGATCTTCATGCTATTTATTTATATTTTTCTTTTCATTTTTTAAATTAGTGCCTGTGGATATACATGTTGGTAAGATTCACTGTGGTGTGTTCATATATGCACATAGGAAATTGAGGTCAAATTCATTCCACTGTTCTTCCCTTTTCCTGTCCCTCCTGCCTCTCCCTCAACCCCTTTCCTCTACTCCACTGATTTTTCTGTTTGATGAAATCCCTCCCACTGCCACTTTTATTTTTTTCCTTATTTTGGACTAACTTTCTCATATCAGAGAAAACATTTGAATTTTGACTCTTTGGGTCTGGCTTATTTCCCTTAGCATGATGGTCTCCAGTTTTATCCATTTACCTGCAAATGCCATTTCATTCTTCTTTACAGCTGTTATATTCCATTGTGTGTGTATACGTGTGTGTGTGTGTGTGTGTGTATAACATTTTCTTTATCTATTCTTCTGTTGAAGGGCACTTAGGTTGGTTCTGTAGCCTGGCTGTTGTGAATTGTGCTGCTACAAACATTGATGTTGCTGTATTCCTATAGTATGCTGATTTTAGATATTTTAGATATATGCCAAGGAGTGGGATAGCTGGGTCCTAGGGTGGTTCTGTTCCAAGTTTTTAGAGGAATCTCCATACTGCTTTCCAGAGTGGTGGCAACAATATGCAGTCCCACCAGCAATGTATGAGTGTAATGTACCCTTTTCCCCACATCCTCACCAACATTTATTGTTACTTGTATTCTTGATAATTGCCATTCTGACTAGAGTGAGTTAGTCACCTCTTATTTTACATGTAAAAATTATAAGAAATGAAGCTGTTTATTATTATTTAATGATGTTATATTGTGTTTTTTTTCCAAAATGTGCATTTTTAAAATGCACAGAACTATTTGACATTTTGTCAAGTGTTCATCTTCACTCCACCTAAAATAATTTTGGCTGTCATCAGTGGAACATACACCATGTCTTGGGAACGATGGAAGTGGTTACTTGGTAGAGTTCTTTACGTCATTCAGAGCAAAGATTTTTTTCTGTTAGAATATCTATATGTAGACTTGTTTTTTTTAAAAAAATCTTTTTTCAAACAGGTTGGCTTAAATGGGCTAATATGAATAAAATGGATGAAGGCAGGCACCTCTTTGTCTGACAATTTGAAAGTGATGCCATTTGAATACCAAGAAGTTTGAAGCTTGACTGCAGAGGCTTCCAAATTAATCTAGTCTGGAAAAAAAATGAAAATGCCATCAAGTAACAGGAGATTTGTCAGCTGCCCTGCTTACACTTTTCATATAAAACATAAAGGTTGGCAGATTATAGATGAAAGGTCAGTTCAGCAAAAAAGAAAATATGTCAGACAATCTCATAACACAGGTAACAGAGGATGGAAGTTGGAAACTACTATTGGATTCCCAGAAAGAGATGAGTTTGTTGGTGATGTGTAAATATCATCACAGTTTCTGCGGGTGTTCATTTCGGTGCCTACTTCTTTATGCTGAGTCTCCAAAATTTGATTTAAAAGACACCAAGGATGCCTGTCGTCCGGAGGAAGATTTACTTTGCAGCAGCTTTTATTTTATTTTTTTAGAAACTGGTCTGAAAGGGAAAAATGGTACATCCTTTACCCTGTGTCCTGGTCTTACCTGTTCGGAACCAAAGCTCTAAAATGAGGACAAATGGAGAAGCCAAGTCCTCACTTGAATCAAAGTGTGAAATATGATATATCAGGAACTATGTAATGTTTTGAACAACCAACAATAAAAATTTTAAAAAAAGAGCATATGTGCATAATGAAAGGGTTTTCAGGGACTCCATCCTCATGAAAGATTATAAAGTGGAGCTGGACAGCCACAATGCAATGTGTACAAGTAGAGCTGCTCAAAGATTCACACAGGCAGGACCTATCTTGGGGTGCCTTACTGTCCAGGAAAACATTTTAGCCTGTTTTAGCTTTGGGAGCACAGGTGAAACTGGGGGTACAAAATCAAGCCATTCGATTCACAAAGCCATGATATTAGAGTAGAAGGGCCTATCAATTTCCAGCATGTGCCGTGCTGGGAATTTGTTGCCCTATTAATAATACTATCCTTCATCTGTGCTTCAAGTGCAGGGGTTGTGCAAAGTGTCATCACCATTCTATCTAAGTAGCTTGCAACATGCATCACACTAATAATTGCCAAACTTGCATAAACATGAATTTGAGGGAGGCTTCTTATTTTGGATGTGCTCCTCAGCACAGCCTTGCAAATAACTGAGGCCAAAGGCATGGTTATGTGGGCTAGTTATCAAGGGTATGCATTGACTCTTGCCCTCAACATTTCTGGTTTCATCTCTCTGTGGCGTCATTTTCCGTCAGACTGCTTTCATCTCTCTCTTATCCTCCCCATTAGTGCACCCCCTATATATGCAATTCTGTTACCATTAGAAACCGAAAATTAAAAGCCAAAGAAAAATAGTAACATTGCAAAACATTGCAAATCTCCATCTTTAAAACCACTGTACATTAGCATGTTTGCAGTGTGCGGCTGAGATTGCAAGGAAGGACTTCACAGTGTAACCTTTGTGGTTTTCGTTGCTGAAATCCAAGTGGACCGATGACAGAACTTGGTCCCCTCCCCAACCTCCGCCCCAAATTCTCTTTCCTACTAAGCTTTCTTAATTAGATCATTGACCCTGGCTTGCTGGTAAGGACCAATTCTTACAACAAGTGTATCCAATTTCCTGAGAGTAGTAACTTTAATTCTTCCTGGAATAGCAGGAAACATTAATTTTGCATTGGATCCAGGAGTCTCAGGAAGTTAGAATCATAGGTGCTGTTGTCCTTTTCTTCCTCCAAAATGAAATAAAATAAGCAGCAGCCCAACAGTGAGGCATGAGAGATGGGTAGTGACAGAGTAGAGAAAAGGGCATTAATCTCAGAATGGGGACAGCTGCCCAGTACTATCTGCCTTTGGATTTTGGTTCCTATAGCATCACGGTGAGTTATTAATATGTATGATCTGTACTTTATTCAAACATTATAAATCTATGCAGAAGTCTGGTGTTTGGGTTTTCCTTTATAGCTTTCATTCTTCTTCCCAGAATTATCTCATTTCGATCGGGAAACTTTTGCATAAAAAGCACACACCGAGAACTCACATTTCCATACCATAAATATTAAAAGGGGGTTAAGCGTTACAGTTTCTTCTCCCATCCCAACGGGGGGAAAGTTAGCCTTCCAATCAGGGTCCCCTTAATAATGTTCTATTTATTCACAAGCCAAAAGGTAAACTTGAAATTATACTTGCATTATGAAACTGTAAGATGTGGTTCCTTTCGTATATGTAAATTGCAGAATGCTTGGTTTTGCCATGTCTTTTCTGTGAAGGATATACTAAAAATATAGCATTTATCTGAGTTGTTGGCATATTTTTGAGGACCAAACCAACCTCAGGCCTTCTCTTAGGTATCATGATTAAAAAGCTTTTGATGGGATAATTATGAAGTGTAGATTCATTACTGTGTAGATCCCATCATAGTGAATCTGTAGAATACAGAAGAGGGAAATGGAACTAGAAAGTTTAATGTTTTCTTAGTAGCTTTTTAGCTTCTTAGCAGCTTCCAATCTCCTGTTTATTTTTGTTAGCATCAAGGAATAATCATAAATTTTGGTTCACACGGAAATATAAAGGAATGTGTGAGCTATTTCATTTGGGTGAAGCGTCTGCTAATCACACAGTCTTGGCTGCTGTACTTTGTGATGGGAAATGAACGTGCTAATTGGTGCTCTTTTTTTCTTATTTCAGGAAACCTGCCATATGAATATAAAATAGTGATTGCTGGGAATCATGAACTGACATTTGATAAGGAATTCATGGCAGACCTTGTTAAACAGGACTACTACCGTTTCCCCTCTGTGTCCAAATTGAAACCAGAGGACTTTGACAATGTTCAGTCCCTCCTGACAAACAGTATTTACTTGCAAGATTCAGAGGTAACAGTGAAAGGATTCAGGATATATGGTGCACCTTGGTAAGTGTTGATTCCAACAGTTTTCCCTCTGTTATTTAGCTGGGCACCAGGAAAGCATGATTTGAATTTAGATCTTTTAAATGAAAATGATCAGGATGGAAGGAAAGTTTATTCCTGTCTTTCCAACAAAACACATACTCTGGTACTGTGGCAAACACAGTATGTGTTATTTTCATTTTGAAAAAAAATTCCTTTAGGTAAGATCAATGGGAGTAGGGCTTTGCTAGATATGTACATATGAATGGGATTGGGGATGCACATGTGTCTGCATGACATGGGGGAACCTGGGGAAGGTTCCATGTTACCCTTCACACACATTTGGCTCCTCTGAACATTCCAGCGATCTTTGGTAGCTCATTTCCCTCTCATTTTATACTGGAAGTAGTCATAAAATACGTGGCATAGATTAGGGTTTCTCAAAGCTCTCTACATGTCAGAATGACCAGCTCTGTTGAAACAGATTTTGAAACTCACAAATCAGACTATGATTCACCTTCCTTCGATGAAGCCTAGAAATCTGTATTTTTTAAAGTTCCCCAAGTGAGGCTGATGCACAGGCAGTTTGGAAGTTACTGGTTGAGAACTTGGTACCAGAATTCTCAAACTGTGCCCTAGAAAACTTGAAGCAGGTACATAGCCTATGGGCCAGACAGGAAGCACTGTGGATCTTGGCTCTATTGGTTGACAGTTGCCAGGTCTTAAAGTTACTTCATGGTGGCTGAACCTTAGTTTTTGATTCTTAAAGATCACAAAAAATAATACCTACTTTAGAGGGTGATCACAAGGACTAAATAGTGGCATTTGCAGTGGACTTAGGAAAGTGACTGGTAATTTGCTTAGGATAATAGTTACTATTTTTCTGCCCTTAGCTCTTCCACTAAGTACATACGTGAACTTGGACAAGTCACTTGGCCACAGAGCCAGTGTTTCCATGTTTGAAATGGGAGTGTTGGATCAGCTGATCTTCAGTATCAGAGAATTCAAAATTCTAGCCCCCCCATTTTTTTCCCCTGAAGGTTCTGTGTATATATTGAGCAGAACTAAACTTTACATATCCCATCTGGAAAAGCACCCTAATCTCTCCCTAGCAGTGGATAGGGCTGGAAGAGGACAGGCAATGAATTAAGATTGCCTTTTTCACATAACAGTTTGGTTTGTCTTCTGTGAGATAAAAAGTTGAGATATTTTCTGTAATTGTTTTCCTACCTTTACTGGTTGGTACCCAGAAGGACTGATAAATGGGTACAGGAAGTTCATTTCTCTTTAAAAACCAACCTGACAACGATTGTGAACCCTTAATTAAATACTATCTGCCAGGCACTATTCTAAGCCCATTCTAACTGTTATCTCATTCCATCCTCACAATACCTTTAGAAGATAGACACTATTATGATCCTCATTTGGCAGATAAGAAAACTCAGGCAAAGAAAGGTTAAATAACTGCTCAGAAACACCACAGATAGTGAGTGGTAGCATCCTGATTTGAGCCCAGCTGGTCTGACTGCAGGGAATACAGAATGGCTGAGGGGTGGTAGTAGTGGGTGTGGTATGATGATTAGAGATTATAATTGGCAGATCCAGTTCATATCCTGTTTTATTAATGTCCATCAATTTTTTTATTATTATTGTGCATGAGAAGGTGGAAAAGGGCAAGAGAACAAACAACAGAAATTAGTCCTGTCAACCTGCAATCTAGAAACTGATCTCAGGGTGACACAGGATGTTGATATTAGCATTTCTGTATAGGGCAGGATGCATCCAGAGCATTTCTCCCTTCACAGTTCAGTTCTTAACAACAATGCACTAATTGACAAATGACTTGTGATTGTCAGAGAAGCTCACATATGAGTTAAAATTGTTTCTTCAATAACAAAAGATGATTTTTGAAAAATCTTCAAGAGGCGCAGAGCATTTTAGGCTATTCCCGAATAAACAGAACTTTCAGAGATTCCTGGATTGATAGTTGCTGAAATGATGACAGCAACTAACTTCCTCCATTATCTGAGCTGATGCAAATCTGTTTAGGATAGAGGTTAGCTAAACCAGATTACAGCGGTGATGGATGAGGCAATGATTTTTGGTCCTGGGCAAAGGACCTCCCAGCAGCATCTCAAAAGTACTTCAAATATGCGATGTGATGGGCATGAGCTGTCTTTGGTGATGATATAAACTGCAGACAATCCAGTTATCTCTAGACAAGATTGAACCATTTAAGATTTTTCAATTTTAATATTGAGGAGGGTGGTAAAGTTAAGAAGATAGGCAGCATTAATTAGTCTTCTGAGGTGTTATCCTGAAGTTGTTGTTACTGTAATGTGTATTGGGATTTTCATAGATGTGAATTATTTCCTGCTGAGCACTTCTTTACAATGAGGGAAGTCTCTAAATGGAATTTTCTCCACCCTAATTGTTGGTATTTTGTATTTTGGACAAGAATACAAAGGTTGATCAAATGGAAATTTCAGTTTCATCCTATCTTTGGAGACATGAGTTGTTTGCACTGTGAGGATATTTTGTTAAAATGAGTATTTCTATGATAATCTGAGCATTAATCCCAGGAATGTCCACATTAGCATTTCTGTACAGGGAGGACAGTGTTTTCCATTTCTACTTCTTATTCAACTGTGGGACCCTGGATGAGTTTATTAACATCTCTCTGCCTCTGGTTTTTTCATCTTTAAAATGGGAAAAGACATTATTTCTCTTAAGTGGTTGATATGAAGACAGAGTTAATGTCTCTGCAGCAACTAGACTTCTAGGCATGGAGTAAGCATTTGATAAGTGTAGCTACTACAACCAGTAGGGCATTGATGTTTCCAATCTGCTTAATTCCTTTGTCAGCCTTCATAAGGACATTGATGTACTTGGAGTCAGATGGGTGAGTTCTAGCCCTGGGTCAGCCTCTGCTGATTGGGTGACACTAAGCAAACCACTTAAATTTATTTGGGTTATAAAACAGGGGAAATGAAGTCTACCTTAGTCTTTTTCATAGACGCCCCCCCCCCATGGAATGTTTACCACAGTTACAATCTTTTAAAAAAAGAAAAAAGTACATATTTATGGGTATGTACACTTTTTAACATCTTTCACCATTAAAAATTTGACAAGAAGCAAAATTTGGGAGACTTATACTGTAGGTACTATTTTTCTACTTTCAAAAGTTTTGTGCCATCCCTGAGATTCTCTTGTAGATAAATGCCTGCTTAATAACCCAATAGATATTTCACCCCCTCCCATCATGTAAACTGATTAATATTGATATCCATGCATTGCCAATGAATGTTCTGAGGAAATACTAAGTTCTGAATTGCTAATATTGCTAGCAGTCTGAATTTAAAAGCAGAAACAAAATAAGAACCCTGACACGATTTCTATCCTTTCATAGGTTTCTCAAAAACAATTGCCATTAGACCAAGCAAATAACTATGACTCATGTTTGTTTGTTTGTTTGAAAATATGGGGTTAAAGTATATCTCAGTGGTAGAGTAACTGCTTAGCATGCACAAGACCCTGGATTTGACCGCCAGCATCAAAAAATGAACAATAAATAAATAAATAATATGGATTGAGATTTAGTTTAGCTTCAAGAAACATTAATCTGTATACATTGCATGTTTGTAACTTGTGTCTCAGCTAAAAGCTTCCTAAAGAATTCAGTTTCCTGATTTACAATTTGACAGACATGTAGAAAATAACTTAAAACACATCAGAGCCACTTCCAACCAGAATATTCTGTGGTACTTATTAGATCCCCAAGCAAGAGGATTCGAATGTGGTTTGGTGGGTCTGGGGAAGTTTAATGTTTTAACCTGATGAAGTTGTGAGTGATGTTACATGTCCAGGAAAGGAGACGGGCTCCCTTGGAGGGAGACCAAGTGTCTGTGAGTTTCTGGCACCCCTACCTCCGGAGGCCATAAGGCAGGTTCTGTGACTTCTGTATGTATCCTCTTATCATTTCCTTCTTCCAGGAACCTTGAGGAATCTTCTTTGAAGAGTTTGGTCACAGATTCACTTAACTTCCTGTTGTTGTTTTCTTCTCTCTCTTTTGGGGAGAAGAGGAGAAGAGGGTCTTGTGTTGCATGCAGTTAGGTCAGCCTTGAACTTTGAAAGCTCAGGGATTTCTCATGCCTCTACTGTTGATTCTCTGCCTCCAAGGTGGCTCACGACTTACTCTTTCAGATTCTCTCTCAGCTCTGGAATGTCTTTTCCAAAGGCTTAGTATGGTTAGAAAGAGACAAAACATCTCACCTGTCAGATATTAGCCACTGTGGTAATGAATTGCTTGTCTGGCTGTAGGGGGAGGTAGAATTTTAAAATTGTTTTTTGAAATTTTTGGTTACTGTCAGTTGAGTTTAGCATAAGCAGATTTCAGTCAAATTACTTGTGGGACTTGGGAGTTAAAAATCAACTGCCCCCAGAGCTGGGGCTGTGGCTCAGTGGTAGAGCAATTGCCTAGCATGTGCGAAGCACTGGGTTCTTCGCCCAGCACCTCATATAAATAAGTTAAATAAAGGTCCATTTACAACTAAAAAAATGTATTTTAAAAAATCAACTGGCCTCTGCTTTTTCTGATTTCATTTGTTCTTTTGACACTATGATGCTACGTAGAAAAAAAAAATCCACATACGAATTGATCAGTAATAGAGCTGCAAAAAGTGAAAAGTCCTTATTGCACTGACTGGAGCCGAGTAGCTGTACTGTTCAGCAATAGCCTGCACCTTGTTCTCTGGAACAGAAATACAGAGGTGGTCTCCTGTGGTGTTTAATGAATATGAGTGGGGCTTTCCGATGTCCAGGAATTTGATCTCTAGGCTGACCAAAGGGTCAGGAACAAAGAGCACATTTTTTTTCACGTTAGAGTGGACCCAGGTGTAATTTGTCAGATTTAGTAACTGTGGAGGAAGTGCTTTAACTTCTACAGCAGGAAAATTAGATCAGGCCTAGGCAGCGTAATTCTGAAATGGCTGAAAGAGGAAGAGAAAGCCCATTGAGTTGCATTT